ATTATCCTTCAGTCGGTCAATCCGAGTTCCCAGGCAGAGATCTTTTGGGCGCGGCTTCTTGAACAATTACCCGAGATACCCCAATCATCGTTTCCTTCTCACACTCTCCGCCGAATCCCACAAAAATTCTTTTACCCTTTCATGCGCCAATTTTTTTTTCTTTTCTCATCATATCCGCAAACCAGAGTCTCCCATTAAATTTTATCCGCGCGAAATTATCGACGAGGACCGGCGCAACGCGACCCGGTTCGCGTTCTCGCGAGACTCTCCGCAAAAAAATAAATAAATAAAACGACAAAAAGAAAAACCTCGAATTGAAATCTGCAGCCCAGAGGTGCAAAAAAGTGACTCGGCGAAATAACGCATGAGTGAGAAAAAGTACAGGAGATCGATTTCGTCACCGGGGGTCTTAATGATGCTCCGACAAAAAAAGGGGGACTCCTGTCCGTTATTCGCAGACTGTCGCAAACTCGTCGTCGTCGCTCTCGTGCTCAATTCAATCCTATTAGTGAGTAGTGGTATTCTTGAGCCCCTCTGCCCACTTTTCCGCTGCAACACAAAAAAATGAACTAAGGCCACAGAAAAAAAAGAAGAAGAAATGAGCGAAAACAGGAGAGAAAAAGAGACAAGTTGATAGGTAAAGGAGGAAATAAAAATTTGCATTAGCTACTGCGGAAATTCAAAAACGAAGAATGCATAAGGTTATCAAAAACTTGAAATTCGCGCGGCCATTTATATCGCGCTTCACAGCTATAAACACGTACCAAAGAAAATTATGCTGACGCTAACATTCTCAGCAAATATTTACGCGTCCTCGGCTTCTTATCTCAATAAAGACCTGCCAACCAAAACAGTCTACTTCAGCGCAAAATAACTATTCCATTTGACGTTCCAATTCTATCTCTGGAATCGAACGCAAAAATTCCGCTGAAGAATGAAATCATGCGTTGTTACACCGACGCGTGCTTTTTTTTTTTTTTTTTTAGCTGGAATAATAATGGCAGCCCTTATACAATTAAGAAAAGAATTGGCAGGACTGAAAGGGACGAGACGAGAGCGACGGTCGGCAATAATGAACAGGGATGAGGACTGCAAATGCACCGTATCATTCGCCACTGAAGTGCCAATTTTGGCAACGATTGGTCGCATCCTACGCGAAAGCGGCGGGACTACCTGTCGCAAAACTTGCCCGCCTGTCGCAGGTCTGCACAGTTCTTTCAGTTTTCGCCTCACAGTTACACTCAGAAAAGTCCCAACGTAATTATAATTATTCCTTAAAGGTAATCAACAAAAATGAAACGGGAAAAATAATTTAGTTTGGATTTCAAGAGATGCGAGCCATACATCTTGAAATGAATTTCTTGGCTGTATCCAACGTGTCAAAAAAGAAACTGGTCAAAGCATTGATTCATTGATGATCACGATAAAAAGTCATCTTCTAGAGAAATTGCACAAAACAGATTTAGCAAAAGATTGTGCTTGGAAAAGCAAGCTCCACCAATTTTCGTTTGAGGTGCTGAATCAAAATGGGTATCTATCTCCAACGAAAATACTTTTGCGATGAATGCACTGAGAATGGGTTAAATAATCACCTAGCTAAATTTTTTTCGAAGAAATTCAATCTTTCCTAGTGGCCAAACATAGTTTTGGTTTGATGCAATCGGGAAATTCAGCGTCTTGCAGAGATTTATTTACTTGATCAATTAAAGTAAGGACTTCAAGGCAAATGAAAAAAAAACCTATCTTTCTGAGTGCCAAAAAATTCGCTGGCACTAATGAATTAAATTTTGTATCTTCAGAGACCAGAAAAATCGTCTGTTACCGGGAAAAAGCTCAAAGGCACCGACGAGCAGGAACAACGATGAACCGAAATAAACCACAAGTCTGCATCGCTACCATTTCAAACTTCCTTATATATTTTTTAAAATAGTTTTTTGTCATTTTTATCTGTCTTCTTTTTGACCGATTTCATTTTATTTTCTCTTCTTTCTGGCCTCCAACAGATGTTCGGTTACGAATTTTCGCGACTGAGCCGTGTTGCGTGAAATGCCTCTACGCAGCGACAGGCGGCACAGCATCCCGCGAACGCACAAATATCAGCTCAGAAAGGTTTAGCATTTCAATGCGACCTTCTTTCTCTCTCTCTCTGTTCTTATTTTTGCAATGCATGGTATATATTTCCTAGCATGTTACTCATGTAATGTTTAAAAAAAAAAGCAATACTTTCTACTCGATCTGCTCGTTTTCGCGAGTAGAGTGAGACCCCGAGATGCGGACGTAATTGGTGCATCAAGATTGTCCCTAAGTCAAGTCTCATTTTCCCTTAGACTCACATTATATAATTTTTAATTGGTGTTTTATGTATAAAATATTCACCATAATTCCATGAAAATAAAAATTGTCTCCAAATTTAAACTGATTTCAATCAAAATAATTCAACAAAATATGGGCATTTGGGGAATTGAATATATTATATAATTTTTAATTGGTGTTTTATGCATAAAATATTCACCATAATTCCATGAAAATAAAAATTGTCTCCAAATTTAAACTGATTCCAATCAAAATATTTCAACAAAATATGGGGATTTTGGGAATTGAATACTGATACCTCTGTACAGTATACAGAAATGTTGGGATTCTCCATGAAAATAATATTCAAGTGATAAAGAGAGAAGGAAGTCCCTCTCTGCTGGAGGTAATTTTTCTATTAGCTAAATGGATGGTAAATTGGCGAGAAAAATGACCAAGAACTTTTCTTACATCAATTTTAGGGTTGGAAAAATCTGTTTCTTGTAATTTGGCCTGACATGTATTTGCAATTTTATAACAAAATGCCCCTATGTCGAGTCAGTGTCCTCATGTCGGGCCTTTTTTATTAATTTTTTATGATTTAATAAGTGTCCCTATGTCGAATTGTCCACAGGTCGAGGTGTCCGCACGTGGGGGTCTCACTGTATATTCAAAGATGGAATCTTCCAATATTTATTCAAGTGCATTGTTGTGAAGGACCGTAACGCTACGGTCCTTGAACTTCGGCACTTTTGCGGATGAGAATTGACTTTGCGATACGTTCAGAAAAAAATAATAATCATGTGTTCTGTAATCTGGCAGAAAACAGGGATTCAAATCTTCTGTGTGAAACATCTTTCAAGACAAAATCTGAGGAAAACCGAGCATTGGTTTTTAATCATATATTGGAGAATTCACTCCAAAACTCAAGCGGGAGGGACAAATTACCTGAGGTGTTGTCCATTATAACATGAAAAAAATGCCGTTTTACCTCGAACATTTTAAATAAACAAATACTGTACGTGAATATTTCACTGACCTGTGGAATCATTTGAAGTCTCCTTTTTGCTTTCGTGGGTCTGCAGTCGATCCCCGACGTTTTTCCGCGATGAACACTGAAGTTTTCCCTCAGAGAATTTCGTCCACGTGTCTTCCCAGAATAATCAGAGATTTTCAGCAGCCGCAGAATTCCGACGATATCGTATTCGGTAATGAGGGATTAGCGTAATATGCACCGATTTTTGCGTGCCCACTTTCCGGTTATTCTTGAGGTTTCATCAACCAAAGGGTCTGGTAAAAGGTTTGGGTATGTGAGGCGGGGGAAGGGGTTTCATATAAATTCTTCTCCATGTTGCTGCCAATTTATTTTCCATAATTTCCTTTAAAAATAGAACCTGACTGAGAACGACTGTGAGATGTATTTGAACTGACTCACGAAATGCTCGAACGTTCGAACGGATGGAAACATGTTTTTTTCGTCTCTAATAAAATGATAAATTCACCGGGATTGCTGTATAAAAACCTTCCTAACATGGCTAGAGGTTTTTGAGAATTCAATAATTTGGTAGCATTAATAACAACATTTGACGTAACATTTCTAATAATGTATTTTCGAATTCGGCGAGAAAGGAACAGAATACCTGTTCAACATACCTAAACTTGTGATTTTATGCACGTTTTTCATTTTCCGTTACGCTGTCACATAGCTAAATCTAAAGTGAATATTTAAAATCCAAAAATCGAAGGAGAATATTTAAAAATACATTTTGAAATGCGTCAAGACTTGATTTTCATCGAAGACGCAACATACTCAAAACTCGAAAGATGAGTGGGAAAATGTCCAAGCCTTATTTTCGCGATACTTTTTAGGAATAACGGACAATTTTTATTTCGTCCTTCCTGTACTTCAAAACGGAAGGAATCGCTGAAGTACAATTTATAGTTGTTCCCTCAAATTTTTCTTGACAGAAAAACTCTGATGGTTTGTAAATCGACTTACAACGTCTCNTTATTTTCGCGATACTTTTTAGGAATAACGGACAATTTTTATTTCGTCCTTCCTGTACTTCAAAACGGAAGGAATCGCTGAAGTACAATTTATAGTTGTTCCCTCAAATTTTTCTTGACAGAAAAACTCTGATGGTTTGTAAATCGACTTACAACGTCTCCAACCATGTCTAAAAGGATTTATTGCACGCTTTCCGCGGTGGTTTGAATTCATTTTGCAAAGAAAAAAGTCACATGCTTCTGGTTCCTCAATGGTAAAGCAGTCGCTTCTTTTTTTGTTGTTGCGGAAATCAAGTAATGAACAGTACTTTTTCGCGTGCGTCGTCTTGACGACAGAAGGAATGACATTTGCAAAACGAAAAGAAAAACAATGACTGATCTCTGGAAATATACTTTCCATTATTAGAGATTTTTTCTTTTCTCGATCGGGAGCCACGCCGTCGTTTGTTCTTGATCTTTTTTTTCTGATTGGATGAACGGGAGGGAGGAGGTTCTTTGGTTCGAATGTTCTTCGCTTTTCGGGACGAGGGGTTCGGGTTTTTTTTTGGGGATAAGGGGGGTTATCCGTGGAGAGGTAGGTAAGAGGAGCCGGCAAAGTTGCCGGCGAAGGGGTGGATCGGGGCGCCGGAATTGGCGGGGGGCTGGGAGCCCCCCGGCGTCGCCACGGACGCCGCCGCGGCGCCGGCGGGCTCCTGGTAAAGTCAGGCCGAGTTGGCGTGCGGGTCACGACCCTGGCCGCTTTGGTGGCCGCCTGCGCCACCGGCATTGGGCGTCGTCTGGTTATTCGGTGCTTGCTGGGCATGAGAGCCCTGGGCGTGCGACTGGCCGTTTTGAGCAGCTGCGGCGGCGGCGGCTGCAGCGGCGGCCTTGGCCGCCTGCGCGTGCTTTTCTTGCTCGTTGAGTTCCTTGATGGCTTGGATCTCCTTTTTTAGCTTCATGCGTCGGTTTTGGAACCAGATTTTGATCTGGCGTTCGGTGAGGCACAGCGCGTGCGCCATTTCGATCCGGCGGCGTCTGGTCAGGTAGTGGTTCGTGTGGAACTCCTTCTCGAGTTCGAGGGTCTGGTATCTTGTGTAGGTTTGACGACCCCGTCGTCGAAGCCCGTTCTGGCCCACATGAAAGCCTCCTTTCGAGCAGAAAGAACAAATGCAAAGTCGACCTTTGCTCTTGAACCAGTCCGATCGAACAGAACACTTTTAAATTAATTACCTTCTATCCAATCAATATTCAACTCATTTCAAAAGTCTCTTAACCAATAAGCAACTTTAAAAAATTGAGTTTCATGGCGGAAAATCAATTACGAAAACATTTTGCTGGATTCATAGAAAACAAAAATGATTTGAAGAAGTACCTGAAAGTTATTTTTGACATCCTGTAAAATCTCAAATAGAATACGTGATCTTTGGTTTGAAGTCAAACAAATGTATTGTGTTCAAGCTCATAAATCTGAAAAAAATATTGTACTTCATTTACGCAACTTTGATTCCTCTAATGGAATTGAAATGCAGCCATGTTCATTCCAAATCCTAACCCCGAATGCTTGCAGTTATGTAACCTTGGTTTAATATCAGCCCAAATAATGAGCTTCTGGTCAGTAATGATTCTTGAAATTGTGCACTTGGAGAATTTGAACAGGCGTTTATCTTGATCACCTCGTATATCCAATCGATCTCATTGGATAAGCTTGGAGTATGCAACAATAAATAACGGAGTTTGTTGTCAATGAAATTTTTAAAAAGTGTCGCAGAATGTCTATATTACTTGATAACTGAAAAATCTTTTAAAGTGATTGTGCCTGCGAGACCCAATCATATGTGTTTATAACCAATTATTGCGCTTATTAGTGTTCACGGAGACCATTTGATATCACGCACATGCAGTATCGAGCTTATGCAACATCTACCAATGGCACATTTTAAAATTGTTCAATCGAAAACAACCCTCGCGACGAAAGCCACGCTTATGGGCGACAGGTTGCGGGCGCTGCACACGCCCACTATCCATTCCCAGGCCTTCCTTCCCCCAGCATTTCGTTTCAACCAGCAAGCATCATACGCATCCATGACCCAAGAAAAAACATTGGAAAGGCACAGAGAATAGAGAGAGCGGAAAAGATAATAAAAAAAGAAAGATAGATAGAGGGCAATGAAATGGCAAGGCCCGCGGCAGGGAAAAATGAGGGAAGAGGCAGAACGGAGTTGTTGTATATATGCCCATGTGATGGGAAAACTCGGGGAACCCGCCGCGCCACGCCAACTCCACCGCGCCGCGACAAGCATCGCGCGCGCTACAGCGACACGGCCGTGGTCGCTTAAGAGGGATCAGCGAGTAACAACGTTCATAAAATGAGTCTGGTGAGCGTTGGCTCCCGCTCCGCGCGCAACGCGCTTCGCTCCCTGTGTCCCCCCGCCGTAAGCGACCGTTGAACGCGCGCCACCTTGGTTGCGGACGCGTACAAATCGCACGTTTCCGTATATGCGTTATGATTATTTTTCCAACAACGGAGTCCCGAACCTAGTATAGTGCTCTTTGGAGCAGGCATATTTTCGGTTTTCTTTTTCTTTCACGCAATTATATACTTATTTTTTATTCTGAGTTTCGAATACTTTGATATTCCAAATGACATTGTCAACAAGAAAATCCTTCTGAATCTGTCTTCAAGGAATCGCTTTAAAAGATTATTATCAATTTTCGGTGGCGGCAGACAGTAATTTCCCAGTTCCATTAACATTTCAACAATATAATTATGAACAAAAGTTCCTACACTATATCTTTCTGCTTCACATATTGTCATACGTTACAACCAAGCTTCGGACATTTCCCTATAGTCGGCATCAAATTCAATGAAAATAGCAGTTCCGAGGCTAGCGATTGCATTTTTTTTTACTTATAATTGACTGAAATGTTTAACAACGTGACAAGGTGCTTCAATAGAAAATTAGCAAGGAATTACACCCGTGACCCGACCGAGGCTTATTTACCGAAAATATTGCCGGAATTGTAGGTAACCAATGCGTTAGCCGCCCGGACCGCGCGCTCCGGCTTCAGCGTCGCCCGGCGTACGGGACAAAACGTTCACGAGAGCGTTCGAGGTCGTGTTTATGAACGCGGCAGTCAGATTGTCCTCGTACATGGACACGGATCGAGCCCGGGACTGCTTCAGCGAGGCTCGGGATGATTCATCCGTTCTTCTTTCTTCTTCTTCGCTCCCTGTGTCCCCCCGCCGTAAGCGACCGTTGAACGCGCGCCACCTTGGTTGCGGACGCGTACAAATCGCACGTTTCCGTATATGCGTTATGATTATTTTTCCAACAACGGAGTCCCGAACATAGTATAGTGCTCTTTGGAGTAGGCATATTTTCGGTATTCTTTTTCTTTCACGCAATTATCTACTTATTTCTTATTCTGAGTTTTGAATACTTTGATATTTCAAATGACATTGTCAACAAGAAAATCCTTGTGAATCTGTCTTCAAGGAATCGCTTTAAAAGATTACAATCAATTTTCGGTTGCGGCAGACAGTTATTTCCCTGTTCCATTAACATTTTAACACTATAATTAGGACACAGTACAGTATTTGTCTGCTTCACATATTGTGATACGTTACAACCAAGCTTCAGACATTTCCCAATGGTTGGCATCAAGTTCAATGAAATTAGCAGTTCCAGCGGTAGCGATTGCATTTTTCAACTTATAAATGACTGAAATGTTTACCAACGTGACTGGCGCTTCAATAGAAAATTAGCAAGGAAAAACACCCGTGACCCGACCAAGGCTTATTTTCTGAAAGTATTGCCGGAATTGGAGGTAACCAATGCGTTAGCCGCCCGGACCGCGCGCTCCGGCTTCAGCGTCGCCCGGCGTACGGGACAAAATCAAGTGCTCTCGCAAGCTCCAGCACAAATACTTGCGCCGTCAGTCTAACAGGAGCATGTACCTGTGCCTAGCTCGGGCCCTGACGAAGTCGCTCCGAGCCCTACTAAGTAGGCAAGAAGAAAGAAGACCCTGAAGGAAGAATGAATGGATTACGCATCCTTTTTCTCGGTTCATCTCCCTGAAATGTCCCTATTGTCTATAGTGCGATGTTTTACAAAGTTGATGAAAATCACGGGAAAAATCATATACCGTAGTTTTCACTATTTAAAGAGTTGAGCTTCCCCTTTTTGCGATCTGTTTCAGTTGCCTCAATTCAATGCTGACCTTACTTCGAGAATGAAGTGTACGGGCGTTGTGTCACTCGTGTGACATCAGCACTCCCTTACTTCTGCTTGCTACTGCAGCGGTTGCCGTGATACGAATCGGAAATGTTTTTAGTCAAATGTAGTCCGGATTGTCAGGAACCGAGACACGCTAGGTTTCAAGGATTTTTATCCATGCCGGGTAGACTAGCGCGCAAGGAAGATGGAGAGAGAGAGAGAGAGACTGAAGACGAACACCGGAGGAAGAACAGCATGAACGAACGCGAATAACCGTTTTCCTATAGCACCTGTGATGGAGCATTTATGAACTCCGACCTCCGGCGATCTTGAGTGAGGACAAACCGCGGTCGCGGCCGTGTGTCGGTCCTCTCGTTCTTCTCTCGACATGCCTCACGTACATGTTTACCTCGAGCTACACGGGCCATGTCTTGCGCAAGTCTTCTCAATTTTCTAGATTTGTAAAGATAACGTGTAGTTTTTGAGAGCTAGAGAAGTCGGCGGCGGGGGGGAGATGGGTACGGAAACGCTTTGGAACATGGTGGAGCCTTCTCTCTTCCCCCTAGCGGTGTTGCCCGCTTTCTCTGAGAGGGTAGGGATTCACACACACACAACACACTCGTGTGATCTCTCTCTCCCAAGGTTTCATGGGTTCGGCCATTGCCGTTGGAACTCTGTATCCCCCCCCCCTCTCCCACTTCGCCTACGGTATCTCGTCCCCCCCCCCTCCTGGTACCCCAGGTTCCTGAGGCATTTCTCGCATCCAGGAGGGATGAGATAAAGCTTGACAGGCCCGGGCCACAGGCTGGCAAGAGGATGCAAGGCAGAACAGGCAGGCAGGCATCACGGTGCGATCGGAAGACTCGGCAGCCCTTCAAATCAGTCAACTTTCCCCGACTGCTTCGCAAGTTGTCAATCTGAGGACTGGGGCATGCAGCTGCGGGAGCGACGGGTTCATAAAGTGATGCCTGCCACCAGCTCGTTGGAACGCTCGCAGGTGCCAACCGCCGCAACGAGTCACGGGCTTTTCATTTTACAGCTTTTGTGACTTCAGTCTAAACACTAAATGAAACTCTCGTTCTTCTCATAACTTTCAAAAAAGTATTTTAAATTAACTGAGAAAGCATTTGTATATTGAAAGAGGAATAAATTCTGGAAAATTGCGAGTTCCGTGATTTTTAATTTCAAAAATAGTGTTTCTGAAAAACTGCGAGCGGAAAAAACGAGACCCACAACGGTCGGCTCGTCCGCGGCTCGCGAACGCCGGCTCGAGCCACCCGAACGTTCACATGGGGGCATTTATGAACGCGGGACCCATGAAAGAGCAGGGATTACTCGTGTGTATGGCTTCTTCCCACGGCGTGTAGAAATCCCGTACGGCGGGCGAAAGAACGTCCCGTCCCGTCCGTCCGTCGCTCGCTCGCTTTCTACGCCTTTTTCTTTTATTTTTTTGCAATGCAGCTCATCGTTTTGCTTAGCTTGCCCTTCTACCCTCCTCACCTTCCTCACGTTCGATTCTTCCCTTATGGCGCAGCCCGTGGATGCACCCAAACAACGAGAGGGTCTTGCCATGGATGCGACTAGTGAGGAAGAGGGGCGAAAGAAAGAGAGTGCGTTAAAAAGAGGGAGAGAGAGGGAGGAAGAGAGCCGTGATGGCTGAGCGGTGCTTTGACCACTGACGAGGCGCGGCCGGCAAACAAACAATGTTGCCATAGCGACCGGGGTGGGAGAGATGCCCTTCCTCTCTGGGGCATCCCACCCACCCCCCTCTCGCATTCAATACGGTTATTAAAAAAGAAGGTGTTTCCGAACGGAGTGTCTCTCCCTCGCGACCAGTGTTGGTCGCGGGGCGTTCACATCACATATCTCACATGTGGGAGAGTGAAGGTCCCTGGGATGAGGCGTTACCCTCGGCACGAAAAAAAAAAATAAAATAAAATACACGCGCGCGAGCCCGTGTCGTTCCGGGCCCCGGGTTTCATTCAGGTTTCGCTGCTGCTCGGATCCACAAGCCTGACGCTCGGATAAACGTTAACCCACATGCATGCTTACGCAGTAGTTCGACTTCGGAAATTAATCACTTCAACTTGGGTTAGATGACAGTGCAAGTCAATCCCATGGCACATTCAGGAATAGCTTCGATAGCATGCAGCCAAATAAATTTTCACGCATGTTGAAAACTGCGACAGACTTTGAGTGAAAGTAATTGAATCAAGAAGTACATTTAAAACTATGATTCATGTACCAGGTGCATGTGTCATTGGTTTCAAGTATCTCATGGGAAGAAGCAGTACAAGTACTGAAACTGTGACGCACGTTTTTTGAGAGGTCAGGGAGTAGTTCATGTCTGCTTGAGAAATAAATTCTACTATTAAAAGCATTTTGAGCAGGAACTTCTTTTAAACTATGGAGCACTCGCAGTAGTAAAACAGAATGATGCCATGTTCAGAAAAGCTCGCATCATTCCCCGATGCTGCTAATAATTACGGTATTTTTGCCAAATGTGACTTCTGCGATCTCTTCTTTTCCTCACGTGCTACTTTGGCAAGCGCTGTTCCAAGATGCTCTCAACGTTCTTGTCCTCAACCCTTCAAACTCGGTACAGTATTTTAAATGCAGAAACTCCAGGTTCTCGACATTCTTTCGGTTATCAGGAAGACATGCTTTCTTGCTAGGAAAAAAACCAAACAAACCGAGAAAGGAAAAGGAGGTTCAGTTCCACTGCTGCTTACGTAGTCTGCTCGCTACTCTTTATAGTGAGTCTGTCCGCGGTCACCTGACTAGCCGCTAGCGAAGGCGTTAATTCGAGCCCACATTAGGCGCTAGCTAACTTCTGGGAAAACTTGTTTCCCTTCAATCGTGGCTCCGGCGCCGCCGTTGGGTCAATTCGTGGGACTAAATCAAACGCAATTACTCCTGCATTTTCTTCCTTCCAACCCAAAAATATATATACAGTATAAGCCGTGAATTCAATCGCGATATTTCCGTCAATATCTTATCTTCCAGATCCTCCGGCTACTGATCACTTCTGCTTTTCGAGCTAGAAATATTTTTGAATCGATGGTTTCGTGTGCCTTTCTGTATATTAAATATTTCGATTTCTACAGGGATCAAGGGACTACAATATGAATCTGCTTGTGGAAAAAAAAATAAACGCGTCAGCTTTGATCTACAACTTTGATGAAATAGATGCAAAAAATGAAGAAGAAAAAACAATCGAGAACCCTACTAGTTGAGTAGGTAGTCTTTTTAATGTTCTTACTATTTATTCTTATTCACATATTTATTAATAGTTTGCTCTTACTTTGACTACTAAGCTATGCTTATGTTGTGTTGACTTAACTTACTAACGATGACATTGAAAAATTAATACATTGAATGAATCCATGTCTGATCAAAATGAATGATTTGAAGTCAAATTTGTGTAAAAAGGTGATCGCACTGTATATAGGCATTTCATTGCCGATGAAGCTCGAAGATTTCAAAACCCCGTTTGAAAATATTTCTGCGCGACTACAGTATCCATCTTCCGCCAACATGGGTGAATATGAATACGTTTTAAAAAGTGCCCAATTTCGAAATTTTCAAGTTGAGCATTACAAATATAATTGTACGCAATAAATGGTCAACAGGAATGTAACAATAATGGCAAAAATATTAGTGCGACCAGGAGCCCCCTCTAAAAGCCACGATTCAATTGGAGGTAACTGGATCACAGGCAGGAAACGCAAACCCACGTAGAAAATAAAAGTTTTGGATGATCAACTCATCCATCAGAAAAATTACAAGAATGATAAATAAGAATAAGTGTATAAATAATTATCAAACGAGAATGAAACTGATGATTCGATACGAATACAACACAACTGAATTGAATGATTGAATGACATTGTAAAATTAATGCATTGAATGAATCCATGTCTGATCAAAATGAATGATTTGAAGTCAAATTTGCGTAAAAAGGTGATCGCATTGTATATAGGCATTTCATTGCCGATGAAGCTGGAAGATTTCAAAATCCCGTTTGAAAATATTTCTGCGCGACTACAGTATCCATCTTCCGCCAACATGGGTGAATATGAATACGTTTTGAAAAGTGCCCAATTTCGAAATTTTCAAGTAGAGCATTACAAATATAATTGTACGCAATAAATGGTGAACAGGAATGTAACAATAATGGCAAAAATATTAGTGCGACCAGGAGCCCCCTCTAAAAGCCACGATTCAATTGGAGGTAACTGGATCACAGGCAGGAAACGCAAACCCACGTAGAAAATAAAAGTTTTAACAGGAATGTAACAATAATGGCAAAAATATTAGTGCGACCAGGAGCCCCCTCTAAAAGCCACGATTCAATTGGAGGTAACTGGATCACAGGCAGGAAACGCAAACCCACGTAGAAAATAAAAGTTTGGTAAGGTCAAACGATCGGAAGACAACCTTTGTCTTCCCATTCCTCCCCCCCCCAAGTGTCGATGTCGACGATCAAGTGTCGATCGTCAATGCCGTTCTCGTCGTGATCGCTACAGTCAAGACATTGCGGGTTTGCTGAGCCTGGCGCCGAAACGGCTCATTGAGCGACACGGTCAGGGCCACAAGGGTACCGAGGAAATAAAAAAACGAAAAGCAGGAGAAGAAAAAAAGAAGTAGGCTTCGTCTTTGCAGATTTGTTTCCACTCGGATATCCTTCCGAGTTACGTTTGCAGAAACTTTCGACGTGTGTGTACTCTGCGAGCACCAGTACTCGGAAATTCGAAGGCAGCTAACCTAAGTATATCTTTCATGTTTTTATATGTATGTATTTTTTTCTTGGCTCTATGAGTTTTAGAATTTTATTCACGGCTTCCATTCCACTGGACTTGGTTCGTCTTACGACGATCAAGGTCGACTAATTACTAACATTAATGGAATTTTTGTGCCCAAACACCTCGTGTATATTTCTCTTTCTCACTCTGGGAAGCAGTCGAAAAGGAGTCCTTAAAACCGTTCATTCAACATATTACGGTAAATTGTATTCTTGAGTTGATAACAAGTAGTGGTGGCATTAAAAATAGCTAAATCAGCAAAAACCAGCCGCACGAGTTGCGTACGTTTCGCCGAATTTCAAGTTGTAGAATCGTGTTTCAGTCTTGGAATTATCATATGAGGTTGTTTATCCACGAATGTGAAAAAAGCTTGACTTGATTGTACTTTATAGAGATCAATATTCGTATAATTCGTTCCCTTGAACTGCCCGCTTTTGATATTTTAGCTTTTTCTTCATAAATATAGACAGGCTAATCGCTCATCATACATGATTAATTATATCTTATGTCGAATTTTTTAAATTTTCAATGCCAACTGATTTCAAGAAAAAAAATTAAAATTATGCACTTCCACATGTGTCATATAGAGCATTCATATTCGCGTGTTCGAGAAGCACAGATTGGATATTTTAGCGAAAGAAAGCAAGCATCTGATAAATTCATATCATCACAGTTTTAAAATCCGTTAGCATTATCATTAGTTAGATATCAATTCCCATACATCAGCCATTGAAGTTTATTCAGTATCGATTTCCACTCATTTTTCCATTCATTGTAGACGATTTTTGTATTATTCACTTTTATTCATATGTTGTCGGGTGACATTATTGACAGAATTTGTGTTGCACACAGGTATTAAATCATTCATTTGGTTCACGTTGGGTTACAAATCTCTTTAATAATAATACCTGAAGCCTGAAACTGAACTGTCGAACTATTGTAGATTCGCTGATTTTTAAGGCATGCATAATACTCCGAAAATCAATTTTGGATAAATTGAGAAATACGATCGTTCGAGGGGAATAAAGCTCCTAGATATTCTCACCTCGCTCCTTTTTCCCGCCAAAAAAAAAAAAAAACTCGGGATGTTCCATGGAAAAAATTACAAGCAAGATCAGGGATTCAAACTTTTGTCGGTCAGACGGCGAACATTTTTCAGTGTCCCGCGACAACTGGAGGATTCAAATTTGAATGAATATAATTTTAGGCTACCGTATACTAGAGGCTACTGGATTCGCACTGTGAGAACCTCGAATTCCGTCTTTTCGCGAAAGCCGCATAATTCTCATTCACTGCGCTTTTTCGCACATGTGCGCTTTTTCGGCACCCTTTAAGACCTGACCGAAGTTCCGCTGTCTTCCCTTGACTTCATCCCCCCCACCCATCTTCTCCACCCCGTTTTCACGGCTTGAAAGAAAAAGTCGGGAGGAAATGAGGAATTCAAGCCGCAAAAAATAAATTGAGCAGAAAAAGGAAATCTACGTTCGGAAAGGCGGAGAGAGCTTGCTTCGTCGTAACACGCGTGCAAAAACAAGACATGTTCAATATTGAAAGTGCTGTCTTATATGCTGGAGATTTATATCAAGATTACCTTTTTTTCGAATTTGAATCCGTTATAAATATGGATCTCGGAGTTTATGATGTCTTGGATCCGCATGCCAAAGCACACTTCGTGAAATGATCCTAAAATGTGAACTCAGTCACATGATCTAAAATTTCTAAATATGATAAATGAGCATGATCTCAGCTGCAGAGAATCTGAGTAAT